TCCTAAAATGAATATAAAATGGTATCACATCTTGGGACTTAATTTGCATTTCTCTGATGACTTAATGGCTGAACATCTTTTCCTAGATGGGTTTTCCTCAAGATTTGTTGGGTGTTAGCTCTGCAGGTGTTGATTTTCCTGCACTTTCAGACTTCACATGTGTAAACCCAGAGAGCTCCTACTTGCACTGGGGGAGCCTGGGGGCAGAGGGAAAAGATGCACATGCTTGCTGCATCCAGATTCTGCCAGCTTGAGGTCAGTCCAAGCCCCATACAACTGTCTACCCTGCACAGCTGAAATCAGAGGTGAGGCTGAGAAGATCTGAGTAGGGGGATCAGAGGTGTCTTTCACAAGCCTGTATTTGTTGTTTCAGTCTTTAATCCAAAAGTAGGAGTTTTAAAAATAAATAATAGATGAGTTTATCCCATTACATTTAATGATATGATAGGGTATGTTTGGTCTCAGTGCTATCTTATTGTTTTATATTATGCTTTCTGATTTATCGCTTCCCTTAAAAGTCTTTTACTTCATGGTCTGTATTTCTGTGGTTTGCTTTGTGTAGTGGTTTTCCCTCTAATAATTTGGAAGGTTGATGGAGTATTTTTAGTTCCTTTAGTGGTTGCCTTGTAACTATACGCAATATTCTTTTACGTCCTATTTCTTGAATCATAACAAGAGATTTTCCTGCCATAAAAAGCAAGGAAGTTAGTTTCTTTCCTCTACCTCACTTTCTCCTCTGTCTCGTTTGGGTATATTGTTATTAGTTCTTTTATGCTTTAAATATCCTTCTAGATAGATTGCTTGATGTATCAGCTTCTAATGTGTTGATCCCCTTCTCCAAATGTGAGTGTGTGTTTATATTTATCCTGCTTAGAATTTATGCTACTTTTTTGATATAAGAACTCACATATATCTTCGATTCTGGACGACCATCAATCAGCTGAGATCTCTTCCAATATTGTCTCTCCCCATCCTCTCTACTGCTCGTAGAACTCCTGTTAGACCTGGTAGGAGATCCTTGTCTTGGGGTCTACTTTTCCTCACCTGCTTTTTTGTCTTTTACTACAAGCTCATCTCCAGAAGGTGTCATTTCCCACCTGGGAGGTTTGGGTTTCACAGTTGCCTTTGCCACAGCACTTGGGATTTCCCTGGACCTGGGTAGGCTTTGTTATAATTGTTTTCCTTGAGGTCTTGTACCTGGGGTGGTATGGGCTTAGGGCCCTCCCATGCATGTGGGGCAGAGTTGGAGTTCTGACTTCTCTTGGTGCCTCCTTTCTCACTCACGGCCCTGGGGAGGGTAGCACCCTTTTGTGAAGAGTGGGTGGTGCTTTTTTCCTTTTCATTTTACTGAATGGTCGGACGGCTTTCCCAGACTCCTGGCTCTAAGCAGAAAGATCACTCCTGGCCTCTTTTGTGCACAAGGCCTGTTGCCTTGCCTCCTCTTCCCTCATGGGCACTAAACCACAACATTTTCTCTAGTTCTTATACTGCTGTGGGCCATTTAGCATTAGTTCCTGCTCACTGCTCTGACTTTGAATTTTCTTTTGTTTCTGGCGTGGGAAGATTTTCTCTTTTGGCTTTTGAGCTCGGTGATGTGGTTGTAAATTTGCTTGTGTTATATTTTAGCCAGCATTCCTCTGTGTTTATAAGGGGGTGATTACTTTGGTGAAGGTGGGAAGGTACTTTCCCCAGCAGCTTCATCCTCCACAGAGAGCAGAGGTGATGGTGATTCTGTTTCGAGAGGCTGGCCCTGGGGCCTGGGCAGCCAGCAAGAGTGCTAAATGTGAAAGTCCTGGAGGAGTCTGAGAAGGGAAACCTGGGAGGGTGAGCTGCATAGTGGCCACGAGAACTTCGGTGTGGTGAGTTGAGCTGGGAAAGGCCTATATGCAAACCCAAGTGACCTATCAGGCTGGGTTGGAGTTCCCCTGAAACTTCAGGAACAGCTGATACACTCAGCTGCCTTTTTTGAGTGATACTTTACGAAGTAAAGGAAAAGGGTCTATCTTCCACATTAAGACCACCCAAGATGCAGGGACAAAAGTGGCCACATCAATAACTTTTCAGAAACAGGAAATTGGAGCAAGAGGTGACTATGGTTGCTGGCTCTTAAGAACTTTTGGAAATCTTGCGGGGTACTTTGAACCTCCCCCAGGATATGAGGTAAGATTTGAGCCAATTTTATTTACTACTCAAGGGTAGGGTGACCCAGATAACCTCCAGGTTACATATAACTGTCACATCGCTTGTTTAATCTACAGGACGGCGCTGGGAACTAATATAGTTGTCCCCATCTTCTGCACAGTGGTTCTCCACCACAGGTGATTTTGTCCCCCAGAGGACATTTGCCAATGTACCGAGGCATTTTTGATTGTCAGGACTGGGGCAAGGGTGGACATTACTGGTATCTAGTATATAGAGGTCAGGAATGCTGCTAAACATCCTATGATGCACAGAACAGGCCTCACAACAAGGAATTCTCCAGCCCCAAATGTCAATAGTGCCGAGGTTGAGAAACCCTGCTTTAGAGTAGGCAACTAAGGTTGAGGGACGTCAACTAACCTGCACTACACCACAGAGCTGGACAATTAGGAATAACAATGTTAACTCACGTTAATCAAGAGCTGTCTGAGTCTGCCCGAGCTGCCATAACAAAATACCACAGACTAGGTGGCTTCAACAACAGAAATTGATTTTCTCACAGTTCTGGGGGCTAGAAGTCCAAGATTAAGGTACCAGCATGGTGAGCATCTGGTGAGGTCTTTCCTCCTGCCTGCAGATGGCCACATCCTTGCTGTGTCCTCCATTGCCTTTCCACTGTGTGTGCACTTGCGGTGGGTCAGGGGTCGCGTGGCGAGGTGGGCAGAGCTCTGCTGTTTCCTCTTATAAGGGCACTCATCTTATTGGATCAGGACCCCACCTTTATGACCTTATTTCTCCTAATTACCTCCAGAAGGCCCTAGGTCCAAATGCAGTCACATTGTGATTAGTGCTCCAACATATGAATTTTGGGGCGACACAGTTCAGTCCATAGCAACTGCTCTCTCAGCGTCAGGCATTGTTGTCTGTCCTCTCTGGGTGCTGTTGTTGTCATCCCATTACATAGATGTGGAAACCGAGATGCAGGGAAGGGTCAGTGACTCAGCTGGTGTCACAAAGCTACAGGGATGCAGCCAGATGCACCCCCAGGTGGGAGTCTCCAGAGCCTGTGCCCTCGGCCAGTGGGTTGTGCTTCTCAGACAGATGTGGATTGGAATCTAGGTTTCCCATTCTGTCCTAAGCTCTGCCCCTCACCTCGCCTCCTTTTACAGGTGGGTAGCCCAAGACACAGGCTCCGAATAAATTAAACAAAGCTCTACACAACCACTTGAACATAGGTTAAAGAGATTTGTTTAATGTAGAAAAAGAGATTGGCCTTTTCTAGAGGAAACCACCACAAGTACCATGGAGTATCTGGGGCAGAGGCCACAGATGGACAAATGCACCTCCATCCCAGCCCCTCAGGCTTGGGCTCTGAGGCAGTGCCGTCCTGGAGCCAGCACCTGGGAGAGCAGGTTCTTGATCTCCAGGTCATGCAGAGACAATGTGGCTCTTTGAGACAGCAGTTGGGGTCTCCAGCTGTCTGATTATGGCTGAGTGAGCAGCACTTTTAGCAAGCTGGTTGTATGGTGGTGTTTTGGGACTCATTCCTAGAAGGTGAGCCTGCAACCTCCTCTTCCAGCCCTTCCACAGACACGTAAGCACCTAATTCCCTAAATTAAATCCCTTTCTTTTTGATCTAGTCAGAGTGGTTTCTATGATCTGCCAATGCACGTTAACTGATACATGCCTGATGAGGATAAGGGAGATGTGGGGGTGTGGAGTGGGGGAGCAGTTGGAGGAGAGTCCTTCCCAGTCCAGGGGCAGGGATCTGGGGTCCTAGGTAGAAAGTGGAAGGGCCACTACCATTTCTCTTGAGAGCCACGATGGGATACAGAAAAAGACACTGAGCTGAGAGGTGGATCTGAGTTCCTAATCACATCTCCCCTCTTTGCTTGGTGGGTGAACTTTGGCAAGTCTATTCCTCTTTCTCGGACTCAGGGGCCTCCATTGGTCCCCCTCTCAACTCTGGCATTCTGTGGCATTGGGCCTGGAATAACCAAGGGATCTTATAAGAAGGAGGAACGCAGGCTAGGATTTACAGTAGAGCCCTCTTTAAATGTCACCATGCAAGGCTTTTCCATTTAAAGGGAGATTGACAGCCACAAGCAACCTAACGAGATTGCTGCTCTGCTCCTTCTCTTAGCAGACAGAGCATCTCACAGGCTGGAAATCAAGTGGTGCCTCGGGGAAAGGAGGCAGGAGCAAACGGCACCATTTACCAATGAGTCACAGGTCTGGGCTCAGACAAGAAGCAATTATTCATGACAAGGCTTCTGAAGAAAGAGGCAGCTGGGCTAAGGGGTCCCAGTGGAGCTGCTCCCCCTGGGCTCCCTAAGAGAGGGCGTGGATTTCTATGGTGTCTCCTGCAGGCTGCCTCCACTTAGCTCTGGACCACTGCGGCTTTGAGAAAACAGAGGAGAATCAAGCTGCTGGAAGTGGTAGAAAGTTCTCAGGACTAGGGGTGAGACCGACCCTGGTATCAGTTTCCCCACATTAAACCCAGCATATATGGGGTTAAAACCAAAACACTCATTCCCTGCTTACTCTCTGGCTTCCTACCTCCAGAATCCCCTATCCTCCATGGAGACAGACACCATCAAGGACAAGCACCTGGACCATCTCCTCCCCACAAAGAGATACGGCTGGTGGGAAAGCTGCTGACCAGCAAGGTCACGAGCTCCCTCCTCTCTGCAAGTGTCTCAAGGCCAAAGACAGGCTGGTGGGAAAGCTCTGACCAGCAAGGCCATATGCTCCCCCTCCCCTACCTAAAGCACCAAATAAAAACCCTTCCTTTTAGCTTTTCGTGGAGTTTGGGATTTCAGCGTTAGCTGCCCTCTCTCCTTGCTCAGCACTGTGCAAAAATAAAGTTCCTACTTTCTTCCACCAGCCCCAGTGTCAGAGATTGGCTTGCTGCGCAACGGGTGAGTGAACTCACTTCAGGTTCGGTAACAGGGGCAAGGGACCTAGTTCTAACCTCTGCTCTGTTGCTACCTCACTGTGTGTCTTTGGGCAGCCTATTTATCTCTCTGGGCCTCTGTTGCTCCTTTAAAACAAGGAAAATGGGTTTTCATTCTGTAAATGAAAGGAAAGGGACTATCTGCTCTGTTTAACTATTCCCAGAAGCAGGAACAGTGCCTGGCACATAGCAGGTTTTCAATCAATGTTATTAGTGGTTGAAAGAATGAAATGGATCCTATAGCAATGGCAAGTCCTGTGATTGGTTTTAAGCACAAAGGAAGGTCAAGTTCTGGTGGTGCTTTAGATAACCACCTTGGCTGCCATGTGGAGGATGAGATGGAGGGAAGACTAGAGTCAGGAAAACTAGCAAGGAGGCTCCTGAAATGAAATGATGAATGTGAAATAAAAGACAAGTGAGCTGATGCGACGAGAAGTGGGAATGTGGGGATTTCTACCTTGCAAATACTTTTGTGCACTTCAGAATACAATACATTATCTGACGCCATCTTTACAGAGGCCGGGGGTTGAGGATAGGCAGGGATTGGTACTTAGCTTTTCCAGACATGGAAATTAAAATCCAGAGAGATGAAGTACATCGTGCAAGGATGGAGCTAGAGAGTGGCAGACTCAGGATGCCAGTCAGGATGTGAGAAGACACTTATCTCTAGTCCTCAGGGAAATGCAAATTAAAGCTACAGTGACATACACTCAGTAGAATGGCTAAAACTAAAAAGGCTGATCGTAGCAAGTATTGGCAAGGAATGTGGAGGAACTGGAATTCTAATACACTCTGGTGGGGATGTAAAATGGTACAACCACTTTGGAAAACAGCTTGGCAGTTTCTTAAAGGGTTAAACATCCATTTACCATATGATCCAGAAATTCCACTCCTAAGCATTTACCCATGAAAAATAAGAAATGTTGTATTTGCACAAGGTCTTGTGTGTGAACGTTCATAACCACTATATTCAAAAAAGCCAAAAACAAATCAATAACCCAAGTGGCTATCTACAGGTGAATGGATAAACAAATCATATGACCATACAATGGAATACTATTCAGCAATGAAAATGTGATAATTGAGACAGACAACAACGATGGATCTCAAGCACAGAATCCTGAGCATAAGAAGCCAGACACAAAAGCATAGAAACCACATCAAATGATTTCATTTATATGAAACTCTAGAAAAGTCTAATCTATAGTGACAGAACACAGAGCACGGTTCCCTGGAGCTGGAAGTTGAGAGAGAGATTGAATTTCAAGGAAGCTTTGGGGGATGATGGAAATACTCTGAATTCTAATTATGGTGGTGCTTTCATTTATCCACACTTGTCAAACTATACCTTTGAGTGGGTGTGGTTTGTTATACTAAAGTTATATCTTGATCAAATTGATGTAAGAAAGCAACCGATTCCTCCTCCAGGGCTCTCGTAGCTCCTGGCTCCTGTAGCTTCAGAACCAGGGAGATGTGGAGGGCCTCAGGCCACCCACCTAACTGAGGACCAGAGAGCCTCAACCTGGGGCAACTGCAGGGCTGTCCCATGTGTGAGGATCACCAAGCTGTACTTGGGGCTGCCTTCCCAGCCTGTTCCCATCTGTGCTTCCACATCCTTGTGTCCACATTGGTGAGGAGGCCTTGGCAGAAGGAACAGATTTTACTGTCACCTGCTCAGAGACAGCACTCAGGTTCCAGACTCAGAGGTGACCACCCATCCCCTGAGTAACCTGGGGGTCTTAAGTGTGGTGGTCCTTGCTCCAGAAGGCCCTAGTAATGCAGAGGCAGGCACAACTGTTTCCATCAACCTTGGCTCCTGGAGGTTTGAGGCCAAAGTCAAAGGTCAGCCTTGGGGTCTGTACCCCTGCAAAATGCAGAGAACATTCCTGCAAGGCTGACTTTGTACTCCTGGGGACAGTGGCCTTGCGGATTCTGGCCATCCTTCCATTTCTCCTGCCTCAAGCAAATACCCCTGCAGTGAGGGCTACAGCTACCAACATTTGCACTGAGCAGTGTTTGGTGTCTGGAGAAAATGCTCCATACCCGAAGAAAAGGAAAATCCCAGGAAGAGAGAGAAGAGGGGCAGGGCACCATCGTGGGGAGTGAGATCTCTGGGAGGTGGAAAAGGCTCAGGCATGGCTGGCACAATGGTCTAAGAGGAGGGCAGGGCATGTAGACAGGTTATCTAGATGTTGCAGTGCCTCCTCTTAAAACTCTGCTTTGCTTCCTCTGACCTTTGCCTGGAGGCCAAAGGGGTCCCATACTCTGGCATCCAAGGTCAGTCAGGATCTGGCTCTAGCTGCCCCTCCAGCATCTCTTGTTTACATTGTCCTTGCTCTTTCCTGCCTCCCTGCCTTCGCTCATGCTGTCCCTTCCACCTGGAATGCCCTTCCCTCCCTTCTTGATGTGGCATATTCTAATTTGCATTCCAGTCTCAACTCCAGTGACTTCTGAAAAGCCTTCCCTGATCCTCCCAACAGAAGTAATTGTTCCCGCCTCTGAGCTCAGAGAACACTTGGCTTGTTCTGCTGTTTATTTCTGGGTTTATTTTCATGACCAGCTCCTTTCCAAGCTGGGATCTTCCCAAGGGCAGAGCCTGTGTCTTTTTAAGCTCCCTTCCTGAGCTCTTGTGCCTGATGCAGTTGGGGTACCCAGGAAATGCTTGTTGAGGGAATGAGTGCCCTTGGTCTGTACTTGGGCATCTCTGTGATCGCTGGCACGCTAGGCAGACTGATCCTGTCTGTGTATGGGCAGCTGAACCCTGACATTTTGGGTAGGATTCTGGGGCTCGGTCCCATAAGCCAGGCTGGGCAGCCAAAAAGAGGCAGCCTGGGAAGCCGGAACTAGCCTGCTAAGCCTGTGATATTTATCAGGCTGACAGTTTCCCAGCAAAGCAGCCTGGAGACAGGGAATAGCTGGAGAAAGTGGGTCATCCTGACTCTTATTCAAGGCACCAGGGAGAGCCCTGGGGTTTAGCTGAGGCAGTGATGGTGACTGATCCTGTCATTTACTTGGAGCCCAATGAAAAGGATTAGTAACTGCACCAATAGATTAATTTTTCATGCAGCACAGGGCAAGTGGAGATTAAAAAAAACTGTGTGCACGCAAGCCTGTATCCAGGCATATGTGTGCATGTGCATGTGTATATGATAAATACCTACACACTATCCCTGCCCATGTCATGTGACAATATTCAAGTGCAAATATCCACATACATCTGACAGGATGGAGAAAAGGCATCAGCTTTAGAGCTTGGAGACTCTGGTTAGGGTCTCTGCATTCAATCAGGACCCCTGCCCTCCTTGAGCCTTAGTTTCTTCATTTAAGATGCAGACATGGTGACAATCCTCATAGACCAAGGTGGCAGTGAGAGTTACAATGAAGGGGCCTGCTATAGGCATGAGAGATGATTTTCAGAAGCCATTTGGCTTCTGTGATTGGATTTCCCAGCCACTCCTGCGCATGGATGACATTCAGGTCACCAGCTCATGCTCAGGATACACCTGCAGACCACACATTTCCTATCCCCTGAGGAAACCAGGAGTGGCACAAGCCCTGACATGGACAGATGCACATATGCCTGATTCAGCTCTAGCATATTCTATGAGCTTTGGTGAGCACCTTCTCCCTTCTTGTCCTCAGTTTCCCCACTTGTACACCGACCACTTTGGATATCTGTTCATTCTTCATGTCTGAGAGCACTTTTGGAGCAGGGAGGGAGAGAAATGCTGTGTGCATGACTGGGCAAGGAAGAGTCTGGCAGGGTGGGCTAATGACCAGCATAAAGTCGAATGGCCAAAGGCACCACTTTTATTGCATCCTTCACTAATATTTTGTCCTTTGGCCTCACAACTGGCATCTCTGCCCAATTGCAGAAGAAATCACATTAAATTAAGGTTCTACTCTTAACTCAGAAACTAAGCCCCGGTGTGTGGTCCACCACTGCCCCCCTTATGAATGAAACCAGGACCATAGTCATCATGACACCCTTTCCCAACATGGAGTGCCAAGAAGATGCCCTCCGCCTTCTGCTCGGAAGACAGCAATGTCCACGTGGCCTCTTCCTTCATTTCTCCTTCTCCACAGAAGGTAGGGAGAGGAAAGGATCGTTTTCCCAGTTTCAGCTGGACAAGGGCCTCCCCACTATGGTCCTATGGTTCCCAGCATTCTAAGACAGCCCATTGCCTCTGGCTTAGGCCACTCTTCTTGCATGACATGACTTTAACCCCTTCCAGGTCTCATCCTTGCCGCATCCCCACACTCCTCCAGTGCTTAGGCTGGAGCCAATGCTCACTGCTCCCCAGACACGCTCTCTAGAATATCCTCCCTCCTTCTTAGCCTAGAAAACTATAAGCCATTCTCTGTTCAGCTCCAGCTTTGCTTCTCCAGTGAGCACGGGTTGCTGGACCTGCTGTTCTGGCCCTCCTCTTTGGGTGCCCTTGGCTACAGGTGCCTAGAATTTTGAGTAATTTATTCACCCTTTCCCCAGTGTACATGGAGCTCTGTCAGAGCAGAGTCTCTGCCTCCCTGTCTCCTTGGCTCCTTGTCTCCAGCCCCAGCCAAGGCTCGGTACCTAAGGAAAGGCCTAAAGAATATTTGTTGAATATAGAATCAGTGTGAGTCAGTGAGAACCAACTGTAGGGCTTCCCTCACCCTGGGAGCATAGCACAGGACCCGGGCTTCATTCTTTGAGGACCCCTAAAGAGACCCATGGCCTAATATTCCTCCCAATCCCAAGTTCAACCTGCTCCTAGGATCCCACTCCCCTCCCTCTGTCTGAGTCCTAAATGGGATGCAGTGAGAATCTCCACTCAGTTTTGTCTGATTGCCAAATTCCATTGGGCCCCTCCTCCTCACCTCTCCTCTATGCTTTACTCCAGAGACAGAGAGATGGAGAGAGGCCAAGAAACAGAGAGAGGAAGAGAAAAACAAAAAAAAGAGAGAAGTAGGATGTGACAGAGACAGATACCTGGCAAGATAAAGAGAGACAGAGAGAGAAAAGGAAAAGAATAAAAAAGAGAGGAGATAGAGGCAGAGAGACAATCAGGGGAAGGGAGGGAAATCAAGCTGGAGCCTGCCGGCCTCGGGCTGGGCAGCCTCGCATCTACAGAGGGGGGACTGCCAGCCTGGCAGTGAAGGTGCCATAGGGCCCCAGCACGGGGCAGGGGCAGCTGGGCTGGGCATTTGGCTGTCCCTGCTGACCCAAAGCCCCTGTGCCTGACCTGAGCCCAGCTGCCCAAGCCCTCCTGCTCTGCTGCCTGCAGTAGCCAGGGTCCCTTCACGCTCTCTGATGGGAACCCAGGGTGAGGGTGGCAAAGCTTGCCCTCCTTTGTCAACTCTGCCACGGAGAGAGGCAACCCTGCATACACCACCAGCCGGGTCATGCAGAAACCCATTCTGTTTGGTTTGGGGGTGAGACGTGGCTTTCATGATGGTGGATCCTCTTCCTCATTCGGGACTTACTGATGTGTGTGTGGAAATCAGCATTCCCTGATCTCAACAAATAAGGACAGCACCTCACCTCGGGGCAGCACTTTTCAGGGTTGAGGCATCTCTCTGAGGCTGTTACCCTGATGCACTTGTTGTAGCATCCCCTCCCATTGGGTGTCAGCCCAGGAGAAAGCGGGGCCCTGGAAGGCCAGGCTCAGTCAACCTCTAAGTGTCAGTGCTGACCCCTGAATCAGATTTGCAGGTGCCAAGCTCCACACTGGCCCCCTGAACTCTGTGGTCCCGTTCTAGCTGGTCACTTGAGGGGTAAACTGTGGGTGGGCTGCCGAGCGGGGCTGGAGAGCGTCTGGTCAGGTGTAAGGTCAGAAGTCCTTTTTCTCCTGTTTTGTGGAGCCTGTAGTCATACACTTAGGGGCATGGGGTGAGTCAGCCCACATAATTTTTAAAGCAATGAAGGTCTTTTAAATTTTTTCCCTTGAAGTCCTACTTATTCTTTGTGATTTACTGCGCTTAACTGGGATCAGAGTCCAGATGCTTGCTGGGTAGCTGGGAAAGATAGAGCCCTGGGACATAAAACCTGGTCGGAGATAATCAACATGCACCGAGATGGCGGAACATTCCCCACATTCCTCTTGAGGCAAAACCTAAGATCCCCATAGGCCCCCTATTGAGGTTGAAGGACCCAACAGGAGATGCAGAGAGGGGCTTTGTGGGAGCGGGTGAGGGAAGGGAAGGAAGGAAAGGCATGGGTGGAGGGGCCAGGGCTGGGATGTTGGTGGACTGTGAGGTTTGCGATGTGAGCCACCCACCCCACAATGCCCTCATCAGTCGCTAACTTACAACGTGTTGGTTGCGTGTGGAGTTCTGTGGGCACAGGGTTGGTTTGCAGATGTTTGCATGAAGCTGCTGGAGTGGGAAGAAGCCAAAGGATGGGGTCTGCAGGCCCACAGGCCTTGGAGTTGGGGGTTCCATCCAAATGTGCCTAGATGTTCAGGGCCTGGAGGCCTCAGCCGACACCTGGGTTACAGGTGCACAAAAAATATGGCCCAGGATGCAGAGCTGGAGGCAATGGGGAACGTATTAGATAAGGAATCAGGATCCAAGAGATCTTGCCAGGCTGAAGTGAGAGGAAGTCTGGTAGGCTGAAGTTTATTGGCACAGGAGATTTCTGGTCAAGATGACTGACAAGGCTGACGTGAGATCATCCCTCCCTTTCCAGATAATTGATGAAGAAGGAGCGGGAGGAGGTGAGCAAGTGAAGCCACAGAGGTGATGGGTACCAGAGCAGATATGTGCTTCTGGAGCAGGATGAGGACTTGAGTTGAGAAGATCTTGGACCTGGGCACGGGGCTCCCCGGGGAGAGTTAGTACCCAGGAGGAATTAGGTCACCTGCATTTGGAAGCCAGAACATCTCTGCCTGTGGAGGGACGATTGGCTCCAGTCATGTACCCCGCTCCTCTCTGCATCCTGGTGCCAGCAGTCGCCTCATCAAGGGGAGAGTAGTTTCTCATGCCCCTTAACTTTAGGTTCAGCTGTGCAACTTGTTTTGGCCAATATGCCAGATGCCTGAAAAAAGATCCAGAAAGATGGTGACAGCCTGGAGTGAGGCTAAATCCAGTAGGATGAAGTTTAATTGGGACTGGAGACTCCTGGCCAATATGGCTGACAAAGCTGACACGCGATGGAGAGCGCCAGCGTGCCGGTCTGCGCCTAGGTCTCACTTGTTTCTGCTTGCTCTCTTGAGTCTCTACCAATGTCTTGAAGGGTACATGCCCCAGCTATCCTGCTGGTCTAAGGAGAATGAGAGAACGGGAGGCACAGCTACCCAAGTTGACCAGAGATGGGATATCCAGCCATCCAAGTTTTCCCAGGAGTGGGAGGTATCCTGGGACATGGGACTTTCTGTGCTGAAATTGAGGAAGTCCTGGGAAAACCAGGATGAGCTGATCACCTTACCTATGCAGTTGCGGAGAGAAGCATGACCCCGCAGGGCCACAGTCTGAAGAGAGCCACCATGCCGCTACAGCCTAGATCAGGCAATGTCTACACAGGCAGAGTTGTCCCAGCTGACCCACACATGTGTCATCTACAGGAGTGCTTCTTTTTGCGTTCTCTCTGATTTTGTGGTGGTTTGATGCACAGCAATACTGTGGCAATACCTAACAGATAAGATTGCTGTGAATTCAAAGTCACTGTGAGAAGTGAGCTGCTCACACAAAAGGACCCCAGAGCCTTGAGTTGACCAAAAAAAGAAAAAATCACTCCTTAATAGATGTGTTAAACCAGTGCTTCTCTCTCCTGATTGCATATTAGAATTGCGTATGGAGTATAACAAACCAACTCGGACACCTGCAGACTCAACAGAAGAGTCTGTTCAATTCTTCTGGGACGGGCTCTTGGCATCAGAGTTTTTTAAAAAGCCCATAAGTTGATCCTCATGCGCAGGCAGGTTTGAAAACTGGTGGGTTAAACAGTAGAGCAGACACAGCTGAAAGAACAATGATGTTTAATTTGACTAAACATTAGTTTCCATACCTGAATCGGCACATGCCAGCTCCTTCCCACCCTGGATGGGGAGATGCAGCTTAGGAGCAGTTCCTGTGAAGGAGATTCAAGGATCTGGGTGGATCCAGGATCCTTTGTGTTACCAGGGTCCTGCAGCTATAAAGGAGCCTGAGGAGGAGAGAGGTCAGAGTCCAGTGCTGCACACCTGAGTCCTGGGTCCTCTACTCTAAGAGGTCAGTGGACGGTGTCTAGGCTGAGCTTCCCAAACTTACAGTGCCCAGGGGGCATCTGGGGGTCTTGCTAAAATGTAGGTTCCAAATCAGTAGGTCTGGGGTGGGACTGATACTCTGCATTTTGACAAGCCCCAAGGGATGCCTGTGCTGCTGGAGCACACTCTGAATGGCGGGGCAGCTGGAGGGGAGGGGATAGGACACCAGGTTCCATGGGAGCCTTGAACTGTTCATACCAGAGAGAAGAAGATTTACAACGGCTTCCCATTCTAGAAGGGATGCCGTGGGCTGGGCCCCACAGGGCAGATCTGGAGCAGAGAGGGACGTCCCGTCAGATGTGGAGACAAGTCCAAGACGAAACCACTGCTGTGGGAGGTGGTGCACTGCCCATCACAGCATGGTTCTAGCCAGGGGCCAGATGGCCTGTAGGAGAGAGGGCCGAGGGGAGATGATCTGGTTGTGGTCATCCGTCCACAGGCTTTAACGCCTCTTCCTGCCTCAGACCCTTTGATCCCCATTTCTGCACTGGTGCCAGAGCCTGAGTGGAGACTCATGGGAGAGGAGGGCAGCGGACCTGCCGTGAGGCCTCCCTTCTGGGCACGTGGAAAGCTGACATCCCGCTGGGTGCCCTAGTAGGCACGGCCGTGCACAATGAATTGGGGTGGATGGTCCCTGCAGCTCTGACTTTCTATAACCCTATGGAAAATTCTGCCTGTTTTACCTTCTAGATCCCACCAGAAGAGTGAAAATCTGGCTGATTCAGAGGAGACACAATGTTAGAGCGAACTTTCTCTGCACCTCGTTGGAAAGGAGTTTGGGACCGTGGAGCTGGGGGTGGACGGCGGCTGCACATACAGCCCGTCTGTGTGGGGCATCTCCTCTGCCCTGAGCTTCCAGTCAAAGCAAAACGCTTCAGCACCCAAGGGAGCAGATCCATCTGGAGCTCCAGACAGCTCTCTCCCTCCCTGGCTTCTCCCGCCGCCTCTGCCCTGGTCCAGGCCACGCCTGCTCAGTCCTCAACAATGTGGGCCAATGGGGAGGGGAGGCAGTTTGAGTGGGAGTGGCTGAGGGCTGCAGCTCACTGTCAGGAGGAGGGGGACAGGGGAAGGAGCAGGGAATCCAAAATCCAAACCAAAGTCCAAAATGCAGAACAAAGACCATGGGCCTGGCACTGATTTGAAGGTGGGAGGAGCTGGATGGTGTATTGGTCGGGATGCACTGAGTTACACTGAGTAACCAGTCTCAGTGGCTTAACACAATAAAGGTTTATTTCTGGCTCACTCGTCAGGCCTGCAGGGGCTGGCAGAGGGCTCTGCTCCACAGACTCTCAGAGACCCAGGCTGGTGAGACCCCATCATCTAGTGATGCTGCCCTCGCAACAAGTGGCTTCAGGGCTCACCAACGAAGGGGAGAGACTGTGTTAAAAGCATGCCTGTTCTTACGTGTCCTACACTGAAGGTGACAAAGGTCACTTCTGCTCATTGCTAGTTAGCCAAGAGTCACTGACTACAAGGGGCAGGAATGTTCTCCTTGTGCCTATAAAGGTGAGGGGAACCAGATCTAGTGCCACGAAGAGACACCCACAACAGCTGCCCTGTCCGGAGGCCTCCAGGCAGCGTGCAGAGTGCTCTGCATGAACAGTCTCTGACCGCTCAGACGGGGATTGGTATTATTATGCCCATCTTCCAGGTAGGCAAACTAAGGCATAGAGAAGTCAAGTGATTTCCTGATGTCACATAGCCAGGATGTGCCAGAGATAAGATTTGAACTCCATTCTGCCTAACTGCATTCTGTTCAAGCCTGCGTTCTCGAACATTAAATCTCCAGTCAGACAGGAGAGGTACCAGGTTCCTGACAGTTTGTGATAGTCCCTGAGTCTGCAGCAGTGAATGTCAGAGACAGAGCCACTCGCTCAGGTTGGGTTGAAGGTGGGACCTCACTCATCAGCCCAGAGATAGAGAGTTCAGGGAGAAGCCCACCACTCACGGGTGGGGCGCAGAAGTCCCAGCTTATTTCTGCCAAGGTCAAGACCTTAAACCATGGGGTCAGAGCTGTGCATATACTTTCCGCCCTGGTCATGTTTCGCATAGGGATGGGGGCTTGGTGGGAATTCTGGCTGGGAGGGGCTGGTAACAAGGCAGGAAGCTGACAGTTCAGGATGGCAGGAAGCCTTCAGTTGGAGGTTGGGGAATCCTGGGTCCAGTGGGAGGGGCTTCCACTGTCCCCTTCCCTGGCACATCACACTCTGGGTACTGCAGCCACCAGAAGGACTCCCAAGGCTTCCTGGGCCCTGGGCCCAACCTCTTCTGGAATTTGCTTCTGCAGTTTCAAAGCTGAGCCTAATGGAAAAGCAAGGTGAGGCCAGTTTCTGCATTTTGGAACATTCCTATCAAAACAAAAGGAGCTGGGGAAAAGTGAATACTATTAAAGCCCAGGCAGAGATGGAGAAAACTGTGCCTTTTATGGCTGAAGCTATTAAAAGTCCACTTAGGAACACGATGACTGGCCACGACTTGCATTCCTGCCAGGATTTCTCCCGGCCTTCCCTCTGCTGTTGGCCGGGCACATTCACTTTCCTGACTTCACCTCAGTGCTTGCTACAGTTTTAAGGGGCTCCTGACAACTTTATGCTCATGATTCGGCGGGCACCCATCTGCATGGATCTCAGAGTGCATCAGGGGTCATTTCTAAGGACCAGTCATATTTCATGGTTTGCGTGGACTTTGCCATATTGGAAACTGCTGCCTGGGGAGGAACCATTAAAAACAAATGTTCTGTGTTTTCAGTTTCTCTCACCTGCCAAGAGGTTTCCTTGATGGCGCTGGCCCAGAAAGCCAAGGCAGATGAAGATTAGATTAGAATAAATTGATTTAGAAGTGACACGAGGCTCCTTGGGAGAGGCTTAAATATTTCATACATGTGTATGACATAGATTTCAGCTGGGCCCGTCAGGAAGAGGGAGGGAAATGGAAATCTTATACTGAGATTCAGTGCAGGCTTGGAATGTGGCGGATCAAAGCCAGAGGACGTGGGCTGGTCTCAACGGCTGCTGCATAACCCTCTCCGTCTCAGCTTCCTTAGCTGTAAATTGGGAACAAAGTATGTTTATGACTAACCTCCTAGAATTTTTTGAGGTCTCCCAAATCAACCTCGATTGGTGCCTCCTTTCCAGATTCCTGGGAGTTCTGGTCAGTGTCTGGGGCTGAGGGCAGGAGGCAGGGTCCAGGTGTGTCCTGAAACTAGCTGGGATTCCTGAACCAAAGGCTCTGAGACCCCAATCTCCCAGCCTTGAGCATCACAAGGACTGAGTGATGCCCCTTTTCCCATCCAGCCTTGAGTATCACAAGGACTGAGCGATGCCCCTTTCCCCATCCACCTCCTCCACACCCTCAGCACAACACCATCTGGCACTTTCGTCCCCTTCCAGCTGTTCTGCCTCTTCTCTGGGTGCCGACATTCCTACGGCACAAAGGTTGGGGAATGTTTCCAGGGCCTGCACCGCCTAGGCCTGTCACTGCCCCAGTAATCTCCCAGTGAATTTACTTATCTGGAGAGACGAGAGTGATTTGCATGTTGAGCTGGGAAACCACAGGTTTCCCGGGGCTGTTCCTTGGCCTTGATTTGTACTGGTGACCCCAAGAGAAGGTGGCATAAAGAGGAATTAGGGATTGTCACCAGTCCCTAGAATAACTGGGTAGTATCTCTTCTGAAAGGGGTGGGGGAGTTCCACCCTGCACCCCAGTGAATGCCTTCCTGGGGCCAGTGAGAAGTTCCTGGCACTGAGGCAGTGAAGGGCAGAGAGGCGTTCCTGCAGGCGGGGGAGCCAGCAAGCCTTCTTGGCAAAAAGGGGACATAAGAGTTCCAGCCTCAGTTGGACTCGTGTCCAATTTGCAAGGAGGACGCAGCTGGAGAAAAGAAGGACCCAGTTTCTTAATTGCCTTAGAGAATTCATCTCCATGAACAAGTCTCTCAGACTGTGTAAAGTCTCTTTGGGAAGGTTTGCTCTTTCAGGGCAAAGAATTTTAGTATGGTAGTTGAATGTCTGGCAAATGAGGTAACCCGTGGGGACGGAGAATAACCCTTAGGGCAACGTGTCTGGCCACAGGACTCTCTGACCCTTTCAGCAGTGACCTTGATCCTGCTGACGGTTGTCCTGGGCAGGTCCTCCTCACCAGGGCAGTCTTCCTTCTCCCAGCCCTTCCTTCCCACCTGCCAGGAGGAGCATGCAATCTGGTGACTCCCTAGGCACCGGCTGGGTTAGGCGAGCCCTATGCTGAGGGGTGAAGGGGCCAGCAGGACAACAATTTGCTCCTTGTTTGAAAATGCAAATAGAGTGAGCGTTGGGAGTTGCGGCCCTGCATGAGTACCAATGGCTAGGTGGATGTTGGAAGGGAGCCAGGCTTTCATTCTTCCAACCAATTTTGAGGACTTATGACATTCCGGGCAGTCCAGGGCACTGAAGATGCAGCAGGGAACAAGATGAGGCTCTGGCTTTACAAACAAGTAAACAAAGGAAGGTGATTTCAGGCATTGCAAGTGCTACAAGGGAAGTGAAATAGGGTGTTGGGATGCAGATGAGTGGGTGGGAGTGGCTTTTATTTGATGGTCAAAGGTATTCTTTGAGGGGTAAGTGGAACACAGGAGGGACAAGAGAAGATCCAGAAAGGCCAGCGAGGGGGCTGTTCTCACTGTCCAGGGGCCTGGGCCAGGAGGGTGACAGTGGAGGTGGAGGGAAGTAGACAGATGTGGGACCTATTTTAGAAACATAACTGACAAGATTTATTGGTAGGTTGGATCCAGAGTGTACGGGGAAGAGAGAAGAAAGGTGAAGTCAGGCAAAGACAGCACTGAGTGCAAGTTTATTTACTTATTCTATGCCTTTTCCACCTATGATTTGTGACTTCTTACAAAACAACTCAAACAGTAAAATCAAATATTTTGTTTCAAGAATCAGAACCAAAGGAGAAAAAGCATGCAAATAGCCCCACCCTAGGGACCAGCAGAGTTATCATAGTTGAGCTTCAAATCTGACTCTGAGCTTCTTAGTAGGTAGGGGAAAGGAAAGTTATATATAGTCAAGATAATATTTGTGATTTTAGAGTTAAATACCGCAGCTGACCATTTTCTCAAAGGACAGCAAAGATTCTTTTAGCGCTGGAGTCTAGATAATTTTTCCCAGGTGTACTTTTTACAAAGGCCCCTGCTTGCAGCACAGGATGGGATCTTAAGCTTGTCTGTGGCACCTGCACCAAGAAATTGTACCTGACTTTCCTAAGAGACATTGGTTGAAACCCAAGGGCACAGGGCTAAACTGCAGCGGGGTGGGGAGAGCAGCAGGAGGGCCTTCGAATTTGTTCGTGGGAGATGGGATGTTAAACCGTGCTAAGGTGACGGAGGGAGAAATGTAGCAAAACAGAGAAGAGCTAAACAAGTGTCAAGACTGGAGAATAGAAATTGTAATACTTATGTGAATCAAAAATCATGTGTGTTTTTTAAATATTCATTCTTAATGTTATTCACATGAGGTTAATTTTTTCTGATTAGTGTATACATATCAGAGACAAAATGAAAAATATTGAAAAGAATAGATGAAATAAAAATAAAAATCTCCCCTCAGAGATAACCACTATTAATGTTTAGTGCACTTCCTGTTGGTCTAATGTGCATGCGCACGAGCACACACACACACACACACACAGGCACAAGATATTTGTGACAAATTTATGTCATCTTTCCTTTCTTGGACGCACATTTTTCATTTTTAATGTTTCTGAAATCGGTGTACTCCTTAAGTTGATTTAATGTTTCCTTGTTTTGAAATATTGTCGCCGGTGGTGTATCTTAAAGTCATTGCCATCACAGAGGAAATATTGTGTATAGCCTCATGTTGGGTCCATTATGCGTATATAAATTGGTCTCCTGCTACTTTCATTTAACACTACATCATTGATATTGCCACACGCCTTGAAACATGCTCTGAAGATATGAGTTTTACTGGCTACATAATATTCCATCCTGAGGACGTCCCCAAATGGACTCAATCCTTTCATTACTAAAGAACACAATTTCTCAACCACACAGCAGTGAGACAGGTTACTCACATAACTTGGAGTGAAACTATACAGCAAATGAACTTTGAAACAGGGTGCTTTTTATGTGTCCTGGTGCCATTTAATCAACTGTGAGCCAATGGCCCAGAGGTCTAAGTTCTTGTCACTTCCACTGCTCCAGCTGTGACCTAGGACATGCTGTTTAATCCCAGTGGGCATCAGTCATCTCCTCTTTAAGACAAGAAGGCTTGCTGAAGTTCTTCCTGTTTGAAGGATGCTGAGAGCTAAATCTTGTCTTCCCAACCAGGCCACAGGGAGGAAATGACTTTGTGGTTTGAGTTGTGTTGTTGTGAGGAATTCAGTGGCCCTATGTTGACCCCCCCCAAGTCCTGAGGGATCCTGTGTTCCCGGGATGAACCCATCAAGGGCCTGTCACCACCCTGACACTTGGATCCCACCTCCTGCTCTCAAAAACTCCAATAGCTGTGACGCAGCTTCACCCTCATCCGTACGTGTGGTCTGGCACTTTAGGCCAGGCAGAGCTTCTTGGCCAAAATATCCTCTGGGAAAATCAGAACCTGAGAAGGGACAGAACAGCCCCTAGCTGCTGGGGAGTCCATTGTTGTGCCTGCTTAGAGCTATGGGCAGGTTGCCAACCCCAGTGGGATTTCCATCTCAGAACCGGAGGGCGGAAGGGATTAGGAGGTCAGAGATGTTATATTATTTCACTCACTGCTTTGTATAAAATAAGCAGTCCTCAAATCTTTGGTGAATGATGAGTGACTGAAAATCTTCAGAGTGGCTGCCAAGAAAAGTACCTGTGAAAATGCAAGGACTTCAAAGGCTGTCAGGGGAAATGTGCTCTGCGCAGGTCTGTTTGCCTTGCATATCCAGAGACAGGAAAGAGGGGGCAGCAGTTTCACCCCAGCCCCTGCCACCTGGTACCTGGTGTTCTCAGAAAAGTCTGTTCACCTCCTGGAACTCGTTCATTCATTCAACAAATGCATTCACTCAGCTGCACAATGTATTGAGTGCTGCTGTGAGTCAGGCACACTTCTAGGCTCTTGAGGTCACCAGAGAACAACAATTGAAGGTCCCTGCCTTGTGGCGTAAGAGAAAGAGAGGAATTAAGGACGACACCTGGAAACAGGACTGTGGACTCAAGATCTCCCGGGCAGATTCAAGCTGGGGGCAGGTTCACTGGAAACGTAGGCACGGCATAGGCTTCCCTTCTCTACCGCCCCTCAAAACACATCCCTTACCCCCTTGGGACTTGGGCTTTCTCACTGGACTAGGCTGGCTCTCAAGGGGTCCCATTCAAAGATTCTAGAATCTTGGCTGAGTCATTTTTCTGATGTCAGATCCCTTCTGCTTATGAAGTCTACAGGGAAGTCTCGGGCTGCTGCCCCATTGTTAGATCCCATCACCCCTCACAATTAGTTAGCACTCTAGGAAGATTGATCTCTCCCCCACACCCAATGGGAAGGACGCGGTTTAGTGGCAGTAGTAGTGGTAACACTAGTTGGTCAGCTCCTACTTGTGGAGTCCTTTGGTCTGCAAGCCACGATGCCATCCCCTGTCTCACTGAGCTTTACAAACACCCTTGGGGTGGGGGGAACAGGGCATATTATGTCCGTTTTACAAGTGAGTAATTTCAGGATTAGAAAGCTTAAGTGACGTGTCCGAGGTTGTGCAGGTAGTAAACGGTGAAGCAAGGCCTCTCTTCCCTCACTCTGAACACCAATTCCGAACACCTCTCGTCTCACCTTGCAGCCAGGGCTAGCTCACATGCACTTACACTTAGGTCAAGGGAGCTGTGAGCAAGGCCCTGGAGGGAAGGGCCGGGAGTGGCTAGTTGGGGAGAGAGGTAGCAGGGTTCTGGGCAGGTGGGGGCCTAGAAAAGCTGGTGCTGCAGTGCCAGGCAGAGTCAAGAAAATGTCCCTCAGGGAAGCACTGTCTCTCCTCCCCTTTATATTGTCCTTCTCCTGGACTTCTGCAAAACATTTGACATTACCTTTCATGATTACTGGGTGGACAAGACAGAAGAGCATGTTCAAATTCTAGTTAAATAAAGCAGATTTGTAACAGGTTGAGTAACTTCAATTGCTGTTTAATGGATTCACAACAATGCAGAAGGAGGTGTCTAGTGGCCTGCCACTGGGCTCCATCCTCAGCCATGTCCTGTTTCACTGCTTCCTGGGAATATGGATGATGGGGCAGGAGACTGACTGACTGATATCATTTGTAGATGACACTAAGCTGGGAGAAGCTGAGGCTGTTTTGAATGACAGCTGTAGGGTCCAAATGATTGAGTGATAGGCTGACTCAATGGAGAATAAATGCTGATTTATGTGCAGGGATCCCCAAAGCACATACACACAGAGAAAGGAAGCTATGAGTATATGAATTTGCAGCATCCTATGTGAAGGAAACCAAGGAGGCAATCAAGTTTTAGTTTGTAGTTCACAATGACTGACTTGTGAAACTGTCAGAAAAAGCTATTAGTGTGGATTCCACCGACAGGGGCAATTGTTCTCTCAGGAGGAGGTGATGCCATTCATTTATTCTGCATGTTCATAGACGTGGGGTCACTGAGTTAAAGATTACGAAAGTGTGTGTAATTCTCAGTATGCATCGCCAGGTTGAAGCCCAGCTGGTGTGTATCTCTTTACATGCCCCTCAGCAGGACACAGTGTGCCCTTCTGATGGCACTCACAGCAGCATTAAGCATTATTCTTTTAAAACATAAGTAAAAATGAGTCCTATTGTCATTTACATTTGTTTATGAATGGCAAAGATAAATTTCATTTTTAACATAGTGGCCATTTGTGATTCTTTCATGAATTATTGGTTCATAATAATTTTCCAATTTTCTTTTGGGGTTTCTACTTTTTCCTTAAATGATTCAAATGAGCTCCTTACATTACAGATATTAACTCTTCTCTGTCACATTTGTCATAAATATTTCAAAGGAAAATATTTTCTGCAGCCTCTCTTTTTCTCTCTCTGGATCCAGGTTCCTGAATGCCTCAGTCTCAACTCGCGTGGAATGTCCCGTGAAATTCCTGGAGAGCCTTCCAGGCCATATGCTCGCGGCTCTGGCTCTCACATGTCAGAAGCGATGTGGTTCATTCTCCCTGCCTTTGCCATCATTTGTGTGCGCCCCTAATCTGACGGGCAGATCAGCAGCTGTTGGGAAGATGTGCCTGTGTCTGGCGAGGGCTCCCTGGCAAATCTTGGCATCCTGGAAGGGAGAAGATGGCAATGGAGATTCCCTTTCTAAAAACGCATCACTTTGTTCTGAAAGAAAGTCAAGGATTTGGAGTTTTCTGGAAATTGGGGCATTGACATGTGCCTTTAAATCAAGCTGAGATTCTATTTCCCAGGTGGGAGTATGGAGCAAGATGGAAGTGTCATTGTACTAGAACTATGGGGTCATGCAATAAAGATCTCTGGTTCAAGAGCCAGTCTGTGCCTTACCTCCCGTGTCACTGTTGGACAGGCCATCTCAATGCTTTTCTTCCATTTCTTCATCTGACCACTGTCTCTGGATGCCAGTGCAGTAGGCTCTGGTCACTGTCTTCAATACTGCCCTTCCAGGGGAGGTTGGATGACTTTGTCAACTCCTGTATTCCTCAGATGCCTAAAAGGACAGGCTCACAGCGCCCTCGCAGGCCAGCCAGCTTCTCAAGCAGATTTTCCTCATCTGTTTGTCAGGGAAATGGTGATGCTGGTCCTCTTGGTGGTTCCAGAATCCGTGCTGACAGGGTATGATTGGCCTCTCCTGGTCCCCCATAAGCCTCTACCCAGCTTTCTAGACCAGGGATTGGTAAACAATGGCCACTGGACTAAATCTGGCCACCACATGTTTTTGTAAATAAACTCATCTTGGCTCACAGCTGTGCTTACTCGTTCATGACCCGTCTGCGGCTGCTCTCACGCCACAACGGCAGAGCTGAGGGGTTGGAGCAGAGACTGCGTGGCCTGCAGAGCCTGAAATCTTTACTATCTGGTCCTTTACAAAAGTTGACCGAGCCCTGCTCTCGGTTGGTGGTTACAAAGTCCAGTGCAGGGCAAAGTGTCCATTGGCCCATGGCAAAGCAGGAAAAACAAGGACCAGAAGGCGAGCTTTGAAAAAAGCTAAATTTATTCAATATGGAGAATGACCTTTATGCCAAGATTATATCCTTCCTTTTTTTCTGTTAAAATGTCTTGACTTTTAGGAAATAATGGAGGCTGTAGACTTGTAGTTATTTTTTGAATGTCCTTACTTGACCAAATAAAAAGTTGGCCACTCTATGTCAATTCCCAAAATAGTTTGAAACTTTTATCCATCTGTGAAATCCCTGAATCAGGAACCACTGAATCTCCTACTTTGAATGACTCTTTAGAAGAAGTCTACATCAACCCATTTCTTTCTTTTTCACCACTCATAACCATATTTTTTGCCAGTAACATCCTCATTCATTCATTCATTTACTTACTCATTAAGACATGTGTTAAAGACCTTGTGGTCGATCAGAGGATCTCGGACTTTCCAATCTCAGGACACATTCTCATCCATAA